CGAGAGTATGGCCCCCAGACCCCCTTTTAGTTCAGTGGTGAAGTTACCTTCGAGGTTCACTGGTCAGCCTGGGAGTGGACAGCCCCGTAAAATCAAATGAGACTTACGAGGTACAGGAGTCCAGTGACAAGGGCCAGAAGGCAGAAGGGGGCAAGGAAGCTGGTTAATGGGAACCCAAGGTTGAGTATGGATATTGTTGATGTGTTGTGAGATTGTTAACCATTGTCATAGTGCAACATGTGTAGTAACTGTTAAATGAGAAACTATTTTGTTTTGTAAGCCTTCATCTTAAGTGAGAATAACAGCACAATTTGAAGAGCGTAGTCAATGTTACTGAACTGTGCATGTAGAAATTTTTGAAATGGTGTATCTTTGGCTATTTGTATTTTCACGAAAAGAAAAAAAGGTCGAGAAGTTAGAGGGTTGATATGTTGTGGGGTTGTTAACCAATGTCATAAAACATGTGTACTAGAGTTTCATGAGAAACTATTTGTTCTGTAAGCCTTTACCTGAAGTACAATAAAAAAAAAAAATTAAAAGAAAATAACAGCTCATGCTTGTAGCCTACTGGACTGTGAGAGAATAAACTTCTCTTTGTTAAAGCCATACACTTGTGATATTTCTGTTATAGCAGCACTAGATGACTAAGACAACATCCAACATTGATGATATATATACAGTACTCATTAATAGGACAAATGAACATAAGTATTGATTATATGATTGTAGAAAGGTTCTATTGGGAATTTGTATTCTTAAGATTGCCTTTACCCTCCTTTATGTATCCTTGCTTTAAATCCCTTAACGTGTGCCTCTCAGGTTTCTTCAAATCAAAAAGAAGTTTCAAGAAACATTCTTCAAATATTTCAGATGCTGTCACAGGCACACAACTGTCAATAAACTCTTGCTGAACTGAACTGAAGTGGGTCCAGATGCCTTACTGAAAAAATACCATAGTTGCTGTTCAAATACAGCTACTTGGAGTGGTCACCATGTTGGCCCAGGCTGATAGCAGATGGTGATAATGCAAGGCAATAATAACAGTGGAAGTTCAAGCTGTCAAATAGTGCATTGAGAACAAAAAGTTGCTGAAGTCCATCCAGTGGGACAAATGAATGAGAGAACAGACAGGGTGGGGTCAATAGGGGACCAGAAAGCAGGGAAGGTGGTCCAAGTCATTCCAACACCATCTGTCCACTTTCTATTCCAGCTACTAAATGGGCTTTATGTCTGTGGGTCTCTGTGTGAGTGTGTGCCTGGAGATGTTGGACCCAGAGTAACCATGCAGGTTGGAGAGTATAGGGAGAGGGACAGGGATGGGCTGTGAGCGAAGGAGATGCAATAACACCATAGACACATTGCTTGAGTGGTTGATGAGGGCAGAATGTTGGGAAGAGAAACTGAAGCTTAAAGTCTCAACTCTGTATGCTCTGGAGAGTAGAGCAGAATCTATCCTGTCTATGGATCAACCTTGCGGCCTTTTCTGCATGAATGGTTGAAATCAAAGTGCTTCATCCTTCTCCTGTTCCTCCCGTCTTTAGGGTCCTGGTTGGCTAGCCTTTCTAGGTGGTCTCTGTTCACATAGCTGTGAAATGGGAATGAAAAACCTGCTTCATACCTGTGAAAGAAAAGATGATATAAGGGTTCATTAAAGAATATCTGTGGGGTATTTAGAGATAATCAGAGGCTAGCATGGTGCTTGATGATTCTTCTTACTGAAAACCAGTTGAGATCAGATCTGGATGCTTATTTTCATTTCTTCAATGACAAACTGAATTACATGAAGGGGTCGAGTAAACTAATGTGTTGTTCTGCCTGCTTTGCCAATGACGTTATTTATCCTTTTACATGCACATCTAGACTCCCTAACAAGATTGTAAACTCATGAGGGCAGAAACTATGTCTTCTGTTTATTGGTATCCAGGAGCAGATTATCTAATAGGCAAGGTAAGCACGGTGCTTATCTTGCTTATCAGATCATCTGTAGTGAACAACTGCACATTTTTTCACCACATCAAATATTTTGCTTCTAGATATGGCTGGCACCTTCCTAGAGAATCAACACCTCTTTTCAAATTTACAATCCCTAACAGGGGCAGATGACCAAGTAAGCAAGGTAAGCACAGGCTTACTTGTGCTTACTTACTAACCTACAGTGAAATTGTTCACTACAGATGGTCTGGTAAACAAGATAAACACCATGCTTACCTTGCTGTGATCGTTAAAATTGTGTGTCAACTTGGTTGGGCCATGATTCTCAGTGGTTTGGAAGTTATGATGTAGTTTGGCAGTCATATAATGATGTAATCATCTCCATGATGAGATCTGATGTAATGTGATCACTTCCATGATAGGATCTGCTGTGAGTAGCCAATCAGTTGAAAGGGAGTTTCCCTGGGGATGCAGCCTGCATCCAATATAGGTGGACTTTCTGGTAAGGTTTGTAGGGCTTTTGCTCACTCTGGATCCTGCAGCTGGCCTCTGTACATCTGACCTCTGGTTCTTGGGATTTGAGCTAGCAGCATACCTGTCAGCTTGCCTGCTGATCTTTGTATTCATCAGCCTCCATGGTCTGGATCTTGGATTTGCCAGCCCCTGCAGCTACATGAGTCAGGAGAAGCCTCCAGCCTGACCCATGGACTTGGGACTTTCTGGCCTCCACAACCGTGTGAGCCATTTCTTTGATTTAAATCTCTTTCTCTCTCTCTCTATATATATAGATAGTTGCTTCACTGGTTTTGCTTCTGTAGAGAACCCAGCCTAAGACACTTGCCTATTGGATAATCAGCCCCTGTTGGTATCCCCAGCATCCATAAAATGTCTGGACAACAGTAGGTGCTAACAAGTTTTATAGATGATAACGAAGGTGAAATTTAAGGGCGTTGGTGCCAAATATCTGGAAGTTAATGAATGTTCCAGCAATCTCATTGGGAGTTCATACTAGGCTCCAGATGCTAGGCCAGAGACCAGTGGGGTTGTCTAGTCCTGAAATGGAGCTCAACCATGCTTTAGGATGAGTCCACCAGAAGCTCTTCCATTGTCTGCTCCAGAACAAATGCTTCTGTCCATGACACCAATACAAGCAGCAGCCTCCCCTGCCACCTGTCAGTGAACCAGTGCCAGAGTGTAATTGTACCAGGAAGTTGTGAGAAAAAGCCCAATTTAAATAAGGCCTTGGCAGAGTCAAGGGACCAGCAGTGCCTTTTCATACCTGTTAATGAAGCCTCATTAGAAACAGCAAGAAGACTGTGCTGAGAACTAAAGCACCAGTTTGCTTGGCTCTCCTTGCCAAAGGACAATTCATTTCATGATTTACAGCAGCTGCTCTGAGATCACAGCACAGAGGAAACTGAGGGTGAGCAGCCCTGCACAGCCTGCCATCTGGTGGAAACTCAGGAGCCTGTACCAATCCATTCTCCCTTGTTCCAGTGGCTGAAGTGGCTTCTAGGTTCTGGAAAATGCATTGCCATGTAGACACAGAAGTACCTCCTTTTGATGGCTGACTTTTGGCTACACTCACCTTTCAAGCCACCTGCTGTGTTTCAATTAGGTCTTGGCTGTAGGGCAAAAAATTAATAGTAACAAGAAAGAAGAGAAGCAAACCTCAGTGTATGGATCATCCCACATAGCCAGACCAGCCACACACCCTGACTTCTCACGAAGCACTTGTTCTCAGGTGGTTCAATTATAGGCAGCCCTGTTGTGTGCCGCCATGGAAGAGATTGGTGCCTTCTCTGAATGCAGCAAGAGGTGGTGTCTTGCTTATTTCCATGCCTCAGACAACAAACTGAATTATGTAAAGGTGTCATGCAAACTGTAAATAGCTGCTCTGTCCATATGACTTACTAATACAATTTCTTTGATCCTGCAGGCCAACAAAGGAAAACCATTTGGAGTAATTTCAACCAGCAGACCCATTTCTTGCCTTGCTTCTCTTTTAGGCTTTCTTAAGGGCAAAAAAGGTTTCTTTACTTTGTGTCAGACTTGGCTATTAGGGTGCCCAGGTGTGCGGGTCCTGGAATGTGCCCCTATTGCTTACACCCTCCCTGTCTGGATTAGCAGCTCATGAGGACAAAGACTCAGATGGGATATTTTGGTCTGTAATTCTGTGTGACAGGTGGACTGACAGAAGCTGGAGGGAAGAATTAAGAAATTTAGGCTGGGCCTTTTTTTTTTTTTTTTTCAGTTTTAGAGGCACTGAGAGCCTGTGGTAGGACACAGGTGGCGGTTTCAGTTTTAATCAGAAGGCGGGGGAGTCTTGCATGGGTAGGTGGCAGATGCATGAACTATATTTGGCTGGCCTCCACCTTGAGAGGGCTGGGGAAAGGACCCTGAAAGAAAATTCAGAGGCTGCACAGTGAGGTAGGCAACCACAACCTGATTAATACTGTCATGGGCTTAAACTGAAGTCTCCTTTAAACTGATTGAGAGGTGCTTTGCCAATAGCAAGAGAAATGTGTGTGTCTGTACATAAATACCCATGCAGAGTACATTAAGGAGGTCTGAACACTCGGGGATACCTGTAATTATGGTACATGCAGCAAAGCACCACACTGAACCACTCACCAGCAAGAGAGTTGTTTTTGCCCCAAATTGTGGCAAAACGCCACCAGCACAACTCTTGCCCAAGCAGTACATTTATGGCAATAAACCAAGAACAGCTGACCCTGGGATGATGAGGCAGATGGCGACACACTCAAGGACTCTTCAAGAAACCTGTAAGGGATGGCTCCTTCAGCCAAGGCCAGCTAGGGAACGCAAGACCCATCTAGATCCCATAGTGAGTTGAACAAAGTGGGCACACTGGAAGCTGCACGCAGAGCATTTATTTGGAGAGAGACAGGAGGTTGCTCAAACTACAGACTACTTAAATTAAGGCAGAAGGACCTTCTCTACTTCCAGGAAGTTTTTTTTTTTTTTTAGCTCAAGCTGAATCAGAGAAGGAATCAGGCAAGCTCTGAAGTTCCCGGTAAAGCTCCTCAGGTAACTTCACTGGTCATTTGGTGAGGAAGGCAGCACTGTCATCGTGAAAAGAGAATGTTTCTCCATTAGCTGAAAAGAAACACGTATGAGTCAGAGAAGCCATGGATGAGGAAAATCCCTAATATCACAGTAGGATTATAGGAAAGGCAGGTGGTTCATGGGAAAGAATCTGGCCTTTGGGACAAGATTGTTTTGCGTTTCACACTCCTGCTCCATGATTATTAACTGTGTGATCTTGGGCAAGTGACTTACGCTCTCACGGCTTTGTTTCCTCGTCTGTAAAATGGGGATAATGATGCAGTCCTGGTAGGGTTTTGGAAAGAAATGAAGATAGCAAAGAGCTAGGACTGTGCTGGCATATAGCAGGCACTCACTCAATGGAGTACTTACGTTCTTGAAGAAAATTCAGCCTAACATGCTACTTTCTGTGTTTGTTTGAAATAACTTTGTGTATTTATTCAGATGCTTGTAGGCATCTGAAAAACGTAGCCTTGTTAGGAACACCTGGCTTTTATAATTAACAGAAATCAATCCAATAAAAAGCCAGTTGGAAAGGAGCTGGATGACATATTTTCCATTTGAAAGGAGGTTACGTTGCTTCTATATAGCTCTCTGGCCTTACAAAGAAAGAGATGTTACACAGTGCAGTGGAGACAGCCAGTAAACCCAGGATCCGTCCCAGCTCTGCCTCATCTCCCTGTGTCATCATGGACAGATCGTTTGCTCTGAGCCTCTGTCTTCTCTCTTGAATCATGAGGGGCTGGACTATGATCACTAAGTTACCTCTCAGATTGATATTCTATTCCTTATTTAATGTATGCAATACAAGGGACTGTGGAGGAATGTTAAGATGTAGAACTAGGATAAAAATAAATGTGTGGATTTCTGGAAAGAGCTGGCAAGGAAGTCAAGCCCCAAGGCTGATGCATATGCTCCTGGAATCCTTACCCATTAAACAAAGCAAAATGAAACAAACCCCAAACTGCATTTATATGTATATGATTGTGGGAACCTCTGCGGTGGCCAACCCAGCTGCCACTCACCAACTCCTTGCCTGCCCCACTACAGAGGCTGGGAAAGCCAAGCTGTTGCTTTCCCTAGCCTCCCTTGCTGGTAGGCGTGGTCCTGTGACCAGGTTCTGGTCAATGAGATACAAAGAAAGCCCTGTGGAGGGCTTCTGAAAAAGTTTTTCCTTCACTGCTAAAAGGAGAGAGCTCCTCGGGAAAAAGCTCTTTTGCTGAAGCCTCTTTCCTCTACTTGCCATGAATGAGGATGTCATATCTCGAGCGGTGGCTGGCATTTGGTAACCATGGGGTGCCAAAATGAAGACAAAAAGCCAATATACCAGGGGTGGCAAATCAGAAAGATAAAAAGAGCTAAGATCCTTAGTGAAATCATTGAGCTGCCCTAGACCACTTGGAGCCCTGGTGGGTCGGTGGTTAATAGCTCAGCTGCTTACCAAAAGGTCCGCAGTTCCAATCCACCAGCCAATCCTTGGAAACTCTATGGGGCAGTTCTACTCTGTCCTACAGGGTTGCTATGAGTTAGAATCAACTCGATGGCAACAGGTTTAGACCACTTACTCCTGGGACTCTTAATAAATATGGTTTATGCCCTCACTACTCAGAGGGCATCACCTGGGAGCTTGTTAGAAATGCAGGCTCTCAGGCCCCACCCCAGACCTACTAAAGCAGATTCTGCATTTTGAAAATGAAGTCCAGGTGATTTGGGTGCATAGTAAAGTTTTAGGAGCACTGGTTTATAGCTCCATTAACTAGGTTCTGTTATATGCAGCTGCAAACATTTCTAACAGATCCTATGTGTGTATATGTGTGTTTGTGATTATATTTGTACGAGAATTGAAAAATTCTGGGCAGACACAGCTAGATTGTGGGCATGTGTATGTTTGTGTGTATGTGTGAAAGGAGATTGGGGTGATTTCTCCTTTTACCTTAATTGCTTCTATTGAAACAAACAAACAAACCAGTTGCCACAGAGTCAATTCCGACTCATGTGGCCTCACGAATGTAGCATAGAACTGTGTTCCATAGGGTTTTCATGGCTGTGACCTTTTGGAAGCAAGTCACCAGGCCTTTCTTCCAAGATGCCTCTGGGTGGGTTCAAACAGCCAACCTTTCTGCTGGGGTACTTAACCATTTGCTGGCCAGCCAGGCACTCCTTATATGCTTCTATAGAGTTTGAAAAAGTATTTTTAAAACCACAAGTATATATTCCTTGTATAATTAAAGAAGAAAGCACACTACCGGCCCTCCTCCCTGTCTAGCAGGGCATGGTAGGCCGCCAGCTCCTTCTGCAGCTGGCATTTGTGCTCCAGCAGATGCTCGCGCTCCTCCCGCTGCTGCTCCGCCTCCGCGTGGATCTCCCTGAGCTCCGCCTCCAGCCTGCCCACCACGGCGCCCAGGTTCTGGAGCTCGATGTCATGCCAGTGCTTGGCATCGTGCAGGGTGTTCTCCAGGCCTCGTTTCTACAAAAGAGCGAATACGGGTAAACCCACGGGAGGCAGGACCGGCCCTGACGAGGGAGGCGTGCAGCGCAGCGGGAGCGTATGGCTCTGGCCTGGTCGCTGCCGTTTCTCCCAGCACAGCGACCCTGCCAGTTTTGCGTGCTGACGGGGGCCAATCTTAGGCGGCTTGGTGGGGGAAATAATGAATTCTCCTTGGGAGGCCAGACTCTGGTTTAGTCTGATTCAGTGATCTTTGTGATGGGAGGTGGGGTGGGGAGGAAAGGAAAGGAGAGAGGGGCGAGAGGCAGAGAGAGAGTGAAAGAGAGGCAATTTGCACGTGTTTCTTCAAAGAAGTCTCTCTGAGACTGCCTCTGGGCCTTTTTGCCCCTGGTTTCTTCACACACACACCCCCATTCCCCTGGGGGCCCTTCCCCTCTGCACTGCGGAAGTCTCACTCATCATCCAGTTAACCCGCTGTTGCCTAGGGCGCTCCTCCCAGGGCACCACTGTTGGAATGAATATCTCTGGCCTTTATAAACTCACGCAGTTCTTCTTCTTCTTATTGTGTTTTAAGTGAAGGTTTACAGAGCAAATCAGTTTCGCATTCAATGGTTTTTACACAAATTGTTCCATGACATTGGTTGCGCTCTCCGCAATGCATCAGCACTCTCCCCATTACCACCCTGAGTTCCTCATGTCCCTTCTTCCAGTTTTCCTGCCCCTTCCTGCCTTCTCATCTTTGCTTTTGGGCAGATGTTATCATTTTGGTCTCATGTAGATGATTATTCTAAGGAGCATTTTCCTCACGTGCGTTATTGTTTGTTTATATGCCTGAAAGATGATCTCAGGAAATGGCTTCACTTCCAAGTAAGAAGTGTGTCCAAGGGCTGTAGTCTCCGAGATTCCTCCAGTCTCTCTCAAACAAATAAATCTAGTCCTTTTTATGAATTTGAATTTTGTTCTACATTTTTCCCCCCACTCTAATCGGGACCTTCTATTGTGTTGCCTAATTTTTTTTTAGTGTTTTAATAGCACATCTTTGCTAGTTCCTCTTTCTCTGCTGCCCCTTCACTGTGGGGTTTCCCACATCCCATATCATGGGCCCATGCTGAGCCTGCTTCTCACTGGGCCTGACTCGGCCCCTGCCACACTCATGACTTTAATGGTTGAATCTATGCCAGTGACTCCTCTGGTACAGATCTTTCCCCCAAACGGTGGATCTGCTACTGAACTTCTTACTGGACAGTCCATGGACACCTCAGAGACATCCAAAATGGGGTCACTGGCTTTCTTCTGAACCTGCTGGCCCTTCCTAGTCTGTGCTTCAGCTGGAAAACTCATTTGAGCTAGAACTTGGGGACAGAACTGTCCCTGACCTCTGCCCTTCCTTCCCTCCCAGATGCTATCATCACTGTATATTCATCCGTGTATATTCTGAGATGTTTCCACACTCTCTCCCTCCTCGCCTCTCCAACCACCATGGCCTGGGATTGAACACTTGTTCTCTCTCACCTGGGTAAACGCAGTGGCCTCCTAACTTATCTCCCTGCTTCTAGTCTCCTCCTGCTGCTGCATTCTCCACGGAGCAGCCGCAGTGCTCTGCCAAAAGTCCAAGTCTGGGCTTGTATCTTCTCCCCTTAGACCCCAACAGTAGCTCCCCGGGGTCCCTAATATGGTACCCACGACTGGCCCCAGTATCTTTCCATCTTCACTCCCCACCTCACAGTAGTGTCAGCACTTCTAGTCTTTGAGCTCATTGGGTCCATGCTGTTCCTCACATCTGCACCATCTTCTTCTGTCCCTTCCGGCATCCTCATCTGGCTCACTGCTACTGATCTCTAAGGCCAAACTCAGGGGTCACCTCCTCCAGGCAACCCTTCTTGACATTCCCCTGCCCTTACCCCTGCCAGCCCCTTCTCTGGGTTTCTGTGGCTCTGCAAGTACATACAATGCCCTTGAACTTCTCACAGTGGACAGAGTTTGTTTAGGGATGTGTCTCCTCCTCCAGATGATGAGCTCCTTGAGGGAAGGGACCAAGTCTCAACCCCAGTGCACAAGACAGGGCCTGGCACAGAGTAGGGGCTTGGTGCATGCAGGTTGTACCGAATGACAGCACATATATTATGATTACACTTACTGCCCTACCTATCTCCCCACTAGACTGGGAATCTCTTAGTGTCTTACTTTTCTTTGCATCTTCCCATATACCATGCCCTGCAAACTGCAGGGCTGATTTATTTTTTATCTTTAAAAAACTTTTTTCTTTAAGTTAAAGTTTAAAGAAAAAAAAAAACACTAAACTTTAAAAACTTTCTTTTCTAAAAGTAATATTACCACTTTACAGAAACTGTTGAAAATATAGAATATTAAATAATAATCTAACTACCATTGTTTGTATCTTAGTATTTTTTTCACCATGTACCTGTGTTTAACAGTTTTTAATCATTATAATTATGGTACACCTATAATTTAGCAGCTGGCTTTTTTATGTAACAAATAAGAAACAAATACATATCCTTCTAAATTGGAGTGAGTCAAATCTTGATGAAACAAGTTTCTTTACTGCACTGCCCAGGAGACTTCTCAGACCCTTTTGACCACTGTGGCCAATGTATACATGTGGAAGATTCTTGGCCATGATACCATCTTGTGTCTTGGCTGCTGTTAAGCAGGGGGTAAACATATTATTTAAATCTTCTTCAATTCCATAGGATATAAGGATGTTGAGTCAGATTCCCATCCTTGGTACATTTACAGGAGACAAATGTGATCAGTAGAATGAAAATCCAGGTCAGTATCTGGATTAGGGCTATTACTTGACTGGTGGGATCTGAAAATCCCTCTGTGGCAGTGAGGATGCAGAAATGGCCACATAGACTTTGAAAATCATTTGTTCCAACCTCTCTGGGTTTTCTCCCTTTGTTTCTCAGGACATTTCTTGGTTTGTGAGTGGTTGTTGATGTCAGACCCTTGTAACACCTGTGATTTGGAAAGACCTTTCACAGAATCCTGGTTGGCTTGACCATCTACAGTTTTTGTTCCATGTTCTAGGTGACTGTTCCTGGTGGCCTAGAGTTTCCTCTTGATGACTTAGGACCCACTGCCCAAGGGAGGTTCATGGGAGCCCCTATCAGAGGGCCTAGCTTTCTTTTTTCCCATCCTCAGAATCAAAGTCCAGCTTCCCCACCTAAGTCCCTGATGTTTGGGCAGAAAGAAGGGAGGCCTGGTTTTCAGAGAGATGCTTGAGTTTGAGTATGATCAGGCCACTGCTGAAGATCTTCCAGCCCTGGCCCATTAAAGACACAGATAGTGCCAGCAAACAAACTGAGATCACAGAGGCACACCTATTCCCCAGATCTCTGGAGATTTGAAGGGACTTCTTGAATTGCTAAACCCTTCAGAAAGTAAAATAGTGACCTTCTGTGATTTCTGGCCTCAAATTACATTCCTGATTTGAGCTGACTGAACACAGAACTCAGTAGGCCTCAATCACCATTATTTGTGCCTGGCTGCCAATATAAACAGCGTCTTGTTGCCAAAGGGGGCTGAAAGTCTTGCCAGCTCGGCTGTCTGGGGCTTATATAAGCTGTGGGGGCCTGTGTGCGCACAGGTTGTTCTGACTGAGGAGAACAGGGATGGCTGGATGAACTCTGCTGTATATGAAAGCTGTAGCAGGGTTTGTTACCTCTTCTGGCTCCGTCTGGGCTCCTAAACTCGGCTGCCAGGCCCAGGGACCAGAGCAGCCAATCCTGAGCCCCAAGCACAGTCATAATGCCACTACTCCTAAGTCTTCTGATTGTGGTGTGATTTTTTTTTTTTTTTTTAGTTGATTCCATAGTCCTTTATTCTCTCTCTCTATATATATATTTTTATACTTTATTGTACTTCAGGTGAAGGCTTACAGAACAAATAGTTTCTCATGAAACAGTAGTACACATGTTGTTTTATGACATTGGTTAAC